GGGGGGGGGGGGGGGCTGGCCTAGCTCTTGCTCCCCTCCAGGCTCTCCTCAAAGACTGCTTGCCTTGAAATCAATTTTACTTTGTTTCCATTCATATTGATCTACCAATTGCTCACTGGGAAATTTCTAGGAAAGGTGTTTACTGCTACCCCTGTAAAAGTCTTATGGCCAGGCCTGGGTAATGACACTGTAGGGAAAGCTAGATTTCCCTATGATCATTGCATATAAGAATGTAGGAACACACATTTCCACTTCCAGAATTACAACTCAACTAAGTTAAAACCAGGGAGCATGTAAGAAAACTTCAGAGGCTGGAGAGTTTCCTTTGATAATTATTTAAACTTTGTGACTATCACCTTCATTAGAATTTTAGTGTTGAAGTTGACAGGTAGATTTTTGGGAACAGGCAAACCTCCAGTTACGAAAACTATCTATCAACCCACTATATCTTGTCCTTTGCTCCCTACCCCAATAAGCACTTGTTTGAAGATACAATTCAAGCTTTTTTGATTCCAGAAGTTGGCATCACAAAGTGCTAAAGCATTTAGAGGTTGGTTCAGGCAACCGCTTTTGAAATCCTGCCTTCCAGCATCTTTTCACCTACTCGTACCCACATTCAAGGTGTGAAAATCAGAAAGTTCAAGAGCCAAGAAAATTGAAGTGAATTTCAAATAATCCTACTATTGAATTTTCCCACTAAAGATAGAGTAGTTTTGTCCCACTAAAGTAGTTTTGTTGTTGAACTTTTCTTTAAACTTTTTGTTTTATTTTGTTCAAATGCTCAGTACATTGCTGCCTCTCTGAGTCAGTTCAACACTCAACCAGTTAAAATGTTTGGAATAAAATGTCATCAAGATTTTCTTCTCATCATGTAGATCTAAAGATAAGCACCGAACAACTTCACAGTTATGCGGGAACTTGCATCCTATCATCAGCTCTGTAATAGTGGACTTGAGTTGTCTCCAGTCCCTGGAGCAAGCTCTGACACATCATCTCCTCGGTCAAGCACTACAGAAGATGATTTACATGAAGTCAACTATTCAGAGCAAGGTGCTTGTAACACCACCAAACCCATATACAACTTTTCAATTCCAGACTTCATAAAACATGAACGACAGCCTGCTCCATCAGCTGCCAATAACATAACTACAAGTCAGCCATCAGCACTGCCAGACAGGACTGGTAACACTAGGGATACGAAAAGGAGGTCAGTGTTCGTAAAATTGTTGATCAATGGAGCATTACTAGATTAATAACTATTTGTCTAGCCTTTAACACATGTTTTCTTACCTAAGTGTGGATTGTGATTGAAGAACGAAGATTTTCAGCGATTGCGCCCAGACCAAACCTTACTTCCTTCCTCCAGGAAAGGATTCAAATTTTTGGCTTATTGGCCAGAACAAATGAGAACAATCCATCAAAGGAAATGGAATTATAGGAGTTAATGGGAGTAAATGGAAGTTCGCCTTATGCTGCCACATCCAATTCTGTCAAACTTCACTTTAGTCGATATTTTTACTTATACTCTATACTTATCCAAGTGGCCCCAGACATGTGATAACTTATGCATTTGATCGTATTGTTCAATTACTTCTTTTTGTGGTGATATATTTGTGGTGATACAGTTTTTACTTTGTCGTTTACAACAATCAAAATTAAAAATGGTTAAAATAGCCACTGGCTTTTTTCAGGTTTTAGAATGGCCTAGTCTTGCAGTGTGGGTTTTGAATATGACATTTGATTTTATTTCCAAAAATAGAGACAATGATTTTTTAATCTTTGTATCTAATTTCATTTTAAGGCCATGGTATTATATTAGTTTTCAACAGAAAGAAACGTTGACAGTTTTTTTCTGGATCTTTTTTTTGGATTCGATGAAATTTGTCAAAAAAATGAATTGTTGCACCTGTCACTTTCACAGACATGACGATATAGACTCGGTTGAAGCTGTTCAAGTTGGCGAATTACCCCGCACCAACAGCAGATCTTCTTGTAGAAAAAATAAAAGGAGACGAGTAGATCAAACAGGAAATGCACACAACCCAGATTTTATTGATCTCACTGACGTTACAGACCAAGACGAAGCAGCGTCGGTCAGGGTTCTAGAAGAAATCAATCACAGTCCTTATCTGGATTCCTCTATTGTTCTCGATGCCAACAGGTTTGTTGTAAATTTGTCTGTAGGATAAAACATTGTTATACTAAAGATTTCTATTCGGCTAGTATTCTTTCACTTATCTGTCATTAGGTGAATTGAATATGAAGTTATTGCTTTTCGTGCCTCGTGCATTTGCTGTGACTGGTCAGCTGATAAAAAGTAGGACCATCAGACAATTCTTGAGAATCCAATTCAAATATACGGTGGATTTGACCAGTACACTTTTTTGAGATCAACAGCCAAACTGGCCTAAGCTGTTGTCTTTCAGATTTCTTTCAGAAAACGAAAGATGCCTCAAAATTTAACTGTTTAAAACGATTTGGATATTTAACCAGTTTCATTCTGAATCTTACAAAAATAATGCTTCTCTCCACAGACCTCCATCTGACAGACGGCAGCAAACAGCAAACTCATATGAATCTGTTGCCGAAAATCTTCAGCGCTTCAGAAGGACACTGCGCGAAACTTTGATTCGAAGAGAGGCCAATGCCAGGGAGTCAAGGATGTTCAATCGGTTATCACACCCCTCAAACCCATGTACAGATGCACCACGAGTCATTTCAGACGGTCCCGCTTACACCCCGCAAAGGGACATCGGTCCACATCAAGTGATTGGGAATCCGCCATCTTTCGACTTCAGGAATGCAGAACCTCCAGTTATTACTTTAGATGAAGTAATTCATTTTCCTTTTAAAATCCAATTACAATTGAAAACCAAAGCCCACGTCAGCCAAACTCACACATCTTCTATAAAATTAGTCTAAGATTTTGTAAACAAAATTCAAAAGCATGGAACAGTGTTTTTTTGCACTCAGGGAATTCTTAATTTGATGGAAACGGATCTTGAGCTCAAAGTAAGATAATAGTTTTAGGTGTATACTACTGCTATCTAAGAGGACCCTTTCTTAAGTGCTATGACCACACCCAAATGTGTTAGTTTGTGATAAAAAAGCTTTTTCACGGATGAAAACTGTTTATTTTGATTTTTATCTTTCTGTTCATTGGCATTACATCATTTCTGAAAGAGTGACGCAGTTTCCAGAGCTTTGGTTGATATGTCGAAACCTCATTGATTTCTACAAGAATTTGATGAAAGAATTTTTTTATTTCCAGGAAGCCGAAACTCCTACGCGGAACAGGGACCATGAAGTTACCCGGATGTTGTTAGAGGATTCATTGTATTCGCTGCCTTTTGTCGCACCCTATCAGAATCGAGTAAGAAACAAATTTTCCTTCAATGTATCTTTTTTCCTTCTCTTGCTGAGCCGAGAGACCAGCCACTTCATAAACAATGAGCTTCAATTAATGTTATTGTTTGATTTAGACGTTATTGTTTTTGGGTGGAATGCTTCGTCGTGCTCCAGGATGTCAATGGCAACAACATAGTCAAAAAATCAAAGAATTCATTCAATTTAGGCCCTTCGAATACACTTTGTTTGCTTGTTAGAGGGAACTTTGTACTTCAAGATGAAGTACTGAAGGAGCTGTGCGTCACTGTCTCATGGAATCAAAATAAGTATTATTCAGTTAAAGTACTCTTTTCTCGTCGTTCTTTTAGCTTGCTCCACCATTAGAAACTATAGAAGAAGACATTGATCGACGTGAAGAACGACGGCGCGAAAATGAAAATCACGTGCACCGCTTACGTCAACAAACGCAAGAGCGAATCAATCACGTTCGTAATAGAATATCGAGGCTGGAGCAGCATGTGAACAGTAGCAGCAACAACAACAATAGAAATGGATTCTTCATAAGAATATCGGATTCCCCGCAAGAAAATAGGAGTGCAGAGGTATTAGGTTTTCTGGATTTCGTTTTGGAGATTCTGGCTTATCCTTGGTTTAGCAAATTTCTCACTCTCCATTTTGAAGCGACCCCACAGTATTATAATATACCTAACTGCATAGAGACATGCATCTTTCATATAAGGTCTATTGGGAGGCACCACTATTTGCGTATACATTTTTACCTGTATAATTTCGGCAATAGAACCCCTTGTACCTTACAAAATTTGAAAACTGACAGTAGTTTGTTCTCTACTCAGGACGAAGTTGAGTTTCTTAGGGAATTGAGACCTCCACAAAATACATCGACGATGTCAGCAAGACCAAACGAGGCCCATGCTAGCAGCCATTCAAACCTTGCGTGGGTAAGTATTCGCTAAAAGTTTCTTGTTGGACTATATTAAACTCTAACGATTCAAAATTTGGTACGTGAGAGTCTATCTCGCTTTTCGCTTGCTGTGGGAATGTCCAACATCCCTTAGAATTTGTTGAAGCCTGAGAATTCCATGAACCTCCATACCAAAACCTTTCTTAAAACGTATGCCCACAATCCATGAAATATTTTGTTATTAACAAATGTCCCTGAAACGGTCATATTCACGTTGCATATACCTATTACCACCCCCGCCCCCCCCCCCAGATTTCCATGCTCGATATTGGCTCCAGAGCTAAAATTACATGGCATTTATTCAGTCAACAACAAAAGAAGCTAAGTTTCTACACTAAAACCACGTTTTGTTTTGTGTTTTTTCTGAGCAATATTTTCAGAGCTTATGCATATTATCCTGAGGAAAAATGAACGCTTTTCCGGACTCTTATTTTCGCCTGGTTGTAGGTTT